TTGGAAAAAAGTTACTGAAAAGTGAAAAAAAAGATCCTAAACATCGTTCACCCTCCCACGAAGAAGGAGGAGTTTTGGCAGTTTATTCATTTATTGTTTGCTCGATAAAAGTTTTTTGGAGCCCCCCCCCCCTCCCCTGAAAAATGTTACGGATCTCCATCTACTGTTTTTAAAATATGATATCAAGGTTCTCCATGCTCAGCTCGATTATGTGACCTACATGTACCAGAATTTCCTCTGCCCTTCAAGGACACCTAAATTAGTTACTTTTATTATTTAGGAAAAAATCAGGATTAAAAACTTAAAACTTTTTATTAGTGGTCTATTATTTTCGGTTTTCATACGCAAATATTTGTTTAAAAGTACGTATGTACATGTAAGTTGATGTTTGAGTGTAGAGAAGGGGTTGCTTTTTTCACAGTACACATATATACTGGAAGCATTATAATATTTGTTAAACACTTTGTTAATTCGATATCCATTAATTGTTTTTAATAACTATTAAATTCATATTTCAATTTGCCAAAAAAATTATTACCGTATCATGGTTGTCCCTAAGAATTGAAATTGGAGAGGACTTAAAAAAACTAGAAGGGGGTTTTGGATTCCTCCCCTAACAGGGGGTTGAGGGGGGAATACCAGAAAAACCAGGGGATTACATCATTATAGGTGGGGAAATTCGCCGGCCCCCGGGTCTTAGGGGCAACTCTGCCGTATGTATTTAAAGAAAAACAAAACAGAACAAAAAACCAGTGATTCAAGAGAGCTCTGAGTTATATAGTGGTTTCCTCGCGAATTTGGTCTCGAAATGACGGCGAATATAAGCACCTCGCGTACGTCTTGCGCCTCAGATAATTTTGAAATGATGGAGAACACTGGTTATTATTGCAATATTACATTAGTTCTTAAACTAGGGCACTGATCACAGTAGCCTAGTGGTTGGGTGCTAACTTCGTAAGCAATTAGGAGGTCGGAGTTCGATTGTCCGAAGTTCCTAGTGCCTGCCAAACGTAGCAGCTACGTAAGGAGACCTTAAAACCGAAGCCCCTCTAGATTCGACATGTATAAGCCGTGTATAAGCGGATAATGATTCATATCGTCAAATAAAATTAAGAAAATAAAACAAAATTGAAAAAACAAACAAGAAATAAAAATTAAAATAAGAAATTTAAATAAAAAGATTAACATAAAATCGGAAATTAGAATAAAAACAGGAAATAAAAACTAAATAATTTATTTCGTTTGGAAAAAGGAGAAGTTAGAATAAAAATAGAAGATAAAAACATTTTAAAAAAAAGAATTGTGGCACTGATACCCCTCCATAGTTTCTCATTGTCATTTTCTACACATGACAAATAAAAACAATCTAAACACGTGTTTAATAAACAATCTTAACACGTGCTTTATATACGAGCCAGTCGCCCGCGTGGCGCAGTGATTAGAGCGTTTGCTAGATAGAGTCCCGATGTAAGGAGTAGATCCTTACGTCGCGGGTTCGCCGGAATCCACTGCGGGACGTGGAGGCCTTCGGATGAGACCGTATAAACCGAGGTCCCGTGTCGCAGGAGGTGCTGGCACGAAAAAGATCCCTCACTGCTCAAGGCCCTAAGTGCCGAGCCAGTATAGGTCAAAATTTGCAGCTCTCCACCGGCAAGTGGTGGCGTCTCCATATGAGTGAAATATTCTCGAGATACTTTAAACAACAAACACACATTATTAACAGACTTTTATCCCGACATTTGAGAGTCGCAATATTATGAGGCGCCGATTTGGTATTTACTGCCAAAAAGTGATATCACCTATTCAAGTAGGTGATATCACCTATTCAATTGGTGATATCACCTATTCGAATAAGTCATATCGCCTATCCAGTTTCTGAATAGGTGATATCACCTATTCGAAAAGGTGATATCATCTTTTCGAATAAGTGATATCACCTATTCGAATAGGTGATATCACCTATTTAATTTAAATTGGTGATATCACCTATTCGAATAGGTGATATCACTTATTCGAATAGGTGATATCACCCATTCAAATAGGTGATATCACTTATTCCTTTTAAATAGGTGATATCACTTATTTGTATAGGTGATATCACCTATTCAAATTAAATAGGTGATATCACCAATTCAAATAGGTGATATCACCTATTCGAATAGGTGATATCACTTAATCATTTTGAATAGCTGATATCACTTATTCGAATAGGTAATATCACCTATTCAAATTATTTATGAAATAACAACTGCTCCCAAGACTATAGTCTTTAGGACAAACACCACCAAATGTTTTCCCATAGACTTCCATACAAAGTATATTGAATTTTGGGCAAATGACTTTCTTGCCGTGAAAGTTCGAGATCTTGTTAAACAAAACATGCCAGAAAAAATATACCATTCCGCGGCACTTTTACTTTCAAATTCCATTTGTTTACAACTAAGTGCGTTCAGCACCAAATGAAAATCTCTAACCAAAGTGCATCCCTCCCTTCAAACTTTTACCTGTAACTCCTACACGTATATATCTCAAAGGAGCCTAAGTCTTGATATGAGATTTTTATCACCTTTATTTCACTTGTCAAATACATAACAAGTTTTTTCTCTTAATGACCAATCACGTGCCAGGTAGCATTTTCTTCTCCGCACAACTTTGGTGTCCAAAATGTCTGCGCCCATGTATTTGTTTATGTAGGAGTTTTTCCTATAATTCTCATTTACTTTCACTTTCGTTTTGTAACTAAGCATTCTAGGAGACAATGGATTACAGCTTCGCATTTAGTTTTAAGCTCTCAAGTAGAACTTGTTGTTTGTTTTGCTCACAAATTTTATTTATAACACTTATCTATAATGTATAATATAGGAAAAATTGTGAAAATTGCATAACAACTGTTCCATACAGAAAATGCCCCACTTAACATTATAAAGAGAGAAAGGTCTGCCACTCTGTTGTACCCCAGCTTGGTATAATTTATAAAATTTATATAACTTTACAGGGGTCGATAACATATGGTATTTAAAATGTCTCGGACTCATATACAGGGGAAAACTGGGCAGCCCGAATTTGCAATGGTTTCAATGGAAATCTAGATAGCCTTGAGGAAGGGAGCATTCATTATTTATTGTTGTAAGAAATGCAAATAGGTGATATCACCTATTCGAATTGGTGATATCACCTATTCAAATTGAAAAGTGATATCACCTACTCGAATAGGTGATATCACTTATTCGAATAGGTGATATCACCTATTCAGCACGAATAGGTGATATCACCTATTCGAATAGGTGATATCACCTATTCATTTCCAATAGGTGATATCACCTATTCGAGTAAGTGATATCACCTATTCGAATAAGTGATATCCCCTATTCGAATAGGTGATATCACCTATTCAATTTGAATGAGTGATATCACTTATCCGAATAGGTGATATCACCTATTCGTATAGGTGATATCACCTATTCGAATAGGTGATATCACTAAATGGCAATAAGTACCAAAACGGCGCTTCATACAATATGTACACATATCTGGTGCTAATGAACAGAGATCAAGATTGTTTAATTTTGAATTTTAAAAAAACGTGGCCAAAGGTAAATTGCCTTCTTTTATTTTTGTTTGCTTTGCTATAAAATTACAAAGTGTAATACATCACGCTATAATATCGAATTGTCACTTTCATTTATTAAAATTGCCACATTCTTTAGGGTCAGAACAAATCCCAATTTATTGCAGGTGCCTCGGAACAGAGAAAAGTGTTTTTCTACTGTTCAAAGGCTTCGAGACCTCATCTAACACATATTTTACCTACAATTTAAGTCGCCTGCGTGGCGCAGTGGTTAGAGCGTCTGCTCTAGGGTCGCAGAGTAAGGAGTTGATCCTTACGTCGCGGGTTCGAATTCCACTGTGGGACGTGGAGACAGGTCTTTCGGAAGAGACCGTATAAACCAAGGTCCCGTGTCGCAGTAGGTGCTGGCACGAAAAAGATTACTCACTGCTCAATGGCCTTGAGTGCTGAGTATAGGTCAAAAATTTGCAGCTCTCCACCGGCAAGTGGTGGCGTCTCCATATGAGTGAAAAATTCTCGAGAGGGACGTTAAACAACAAACAAACAAACCTACAATTTACCATATGACGACTCGTGTACATGTATTCATACTTGAGTTGTCTTTCTTTACGTATGTCCTGATTGCGGTCTGGGATCACTAGGACAGATTTCGATACGATAAAAGCATTATGATATTTTCAAAGAGAGAGAGAGAGAAAAAATATATATAAAATTTGCTACATTTCCATTTATATAAAATATATATCTGTGTAAGAAATCTATACATCGGTCTAAAAAACAAGAGGCTCATGGACCGCAACGCTCACCTGAGTAACTTTGGCCCTGCTGTTCTTCACCAGATTTTCCCCCTTGTAATACCTATTGTGGCCCCGCGAAAGCCCGGAGGACATGACTTCAACAAACTAGAATCTACACTATCCCAGGATGCTTCCACATAAGTTTCAGCTTTTCTGGCTCAGTGGTTCATGGGGAAAAGATTTTCAAAGATTTTTCCTATATATTTCAATGTAAAACTTTGATTCCTTATTGAGGCCCCGTCCTACCTCCGAGGGTCATGATTTGAACAATTTAGAGTCTACACTACCCAAAGATGCTTCAACATAAGTTTCAGCTTTTCTGGCTCAGTGGTTCATGAGAAAAAGATTTTCAAAGATTTTTCCTATATATTTCAATGTAAAAATTAGCCCACCCTACCTTGATTTGATCAATTTAGAATCTACACTACCCAAGGATGCTATGATAATGTGATGATATTCAATCATGAAAAGTCTAATTTTCATATCTTTACGTGTGTCTACTTTACTGTGTCTAATTTCTCCCCTGATTGGATATATCACAAAGATCCTTGGATCTCATCCACGTAGGACGGACAGACAAACAGTTCCAAGATTGTTCCACAGTTTTCATTGTGTTGAGAACCAAATAAATCAAATCAAAAGATTTCAAAATCATTTATTACATTTTTTTAAATATGAATTTAAGCAGTGTATTAACAATCATCAACAAGCAGAATCAAATGAGAACAAAGTATCTCCAACATAACCACATATACAGCTGATCAGACGGAATTCATCAGGTATGGCATAATGACTAGACAATACACAGTAATTAAAGCGTGTTAATGTAGCACGAAATAGCTATAACATAGCACAAAAAGATACATTGTAGTGATATCTGTAGCTTTGCTACAAAACGAAAACACTGATGCCAGTTATATTTACAAGCAACAAAAAAAACGTGTCTGTTGAAGTGAAATGGGACTCATACCGCATCAAAAGTTTAGCACTGGTATAATTAACGATCGTTCCCTCATGGATATACAATGTTACAGTCTGTTGACAATGATATTGCACAGGAACTCAGCTTGAATAGTTTGCATAGCGATCATTCGGATAATATTTTTAAATACTTTGTTACAAAGTTATTTCACTACGAATAGAAGCACCTTTTATCAAACACATGCTCACTGAAAGAAATGTCAGATGAAGTTTTCAAAACAATAGGTCTGTACGCCGACCATCCAGCATGAAGTTATATAGGAAAGCTTGTCCACGTGATTCGCCTGTTGTAGTCACCTCCAATCCACAAAAGAGTATTCTGTATGCTAATATCACAGAGACCAGCTTGTTCATCACATCGTCCATTTGTCTGGTAATTACTGCAATTTTACAATAAATATCTATACTTCTTGTGAACGTTAACTAAAGGTAAAAATCATCTGAATATAGTGATACAAACAGATATATCCTAATTCTCTAGAGTGGAGTTTCTTTTTTAAGCGGTAGGCCGTTGGGTCGAACTGCGCCTTGATGTCCATTGCACATCGGAGCAGGCATGATTCCATTTGACACAGGATCGTTAACCCCATTAAGTTTGCATTGGCTGTGGTCAATACTGGACAGTTTACCGATATTGGGACTGTTGATCCCGAGACTTTTTGTTACGTTTGGGTTCGTAACTATCCCGTTTCTCTTCCGTCTCATTTCCGGTGATCGCAGCGCACTCTGTCCCATGATGAGCTTGGAAGGCTGCTCCTTCACCGGACTTTGTTTCAGACGAAGTTTCTCAAGGTCGCTTTTGATATTCTTGAAATGTAAAGGGTTAATTTGCCAAACCGGGTCGTCTGCGAACTCGGCGTTTGGGTTGGTGATAATATTGATGGTTGCCGTTATTTCCTGTTGTTTGTTGTTTGAGTATTTCACAGGTGCAAACTGGTTTAAATTTCTTTCGGTAGAAGGAGAGATCTGGCTGTGGATATTATTCAATTCATTGTGAACCTCAACCATTGGCGAGAGAGGAGGGGACTGTACGGGGGTCTGAGGTTCACTTACCGGGGACAGGACACGGCTGGCTGGGCGCGGTCGGTTTCGGCTCATTGAACACTGCTGAAGCTGCTGTGTAAATGTCAGACAGTCACTACCTCCATGCATATTGGAGCTGTGGGCACTCTGATTTGTAGAAGAAGTAAAATTACTGGACGACTTGGAAGAATTGTTAGAAGCGTACGACTTACGTCGGTCAAAGGTTGAGTCGGGGGAATCGGAAGGCGAGCTATTGAGCTGGCTGCCATTAACTATGACCCCTGAAGTTACGCCACCGGTTGTATTTGTAGGTTTAGTGTCGTTACTGGAGGCTGACGAATTACTTCGACTGCTTTTGCAGCTTGGCGCAACAGCGCCGTATTCTTCCAATAACCGACACACACTGGAATGTCCACTTTTTATTGCAACTTTCACCGGCGTCCGACCAAACTGATCTGCGTGATTTGGATTGGCTTTGAATTGTAAGAGAGTTCTGACTACATCTTCGTGTCCTTCCTGTGCTGCAATGCAGAGAGCAGTGGCGCCCTGGTTGCAAGTGTGATCCACGGTGGCACCTTTCTGCAGTAAGAGACGGACGATTTGATCGTGTCCCTGCCATGCCGCGGACTGAAGAGCAGATCGCCGGTCGTTATCCACGGCATTAACCTGTGCTCCATAGTTCAGAAGATGCTGTACAACCTCAGTGTGACCTTGCCAGCTTGAAATGTGCAGCCCCGTTCTTCCTTCTAAATCGGTACATTCAGCATCGGCACCATTTTCCAGCAAAAAAAGAGCCATATCAGCCTTGTTTTCAAGGCATAATAGGTATAGAGTAGATCTTCCATCCAAGTCTTTGTAATTAATATTTGCGTTGCACGACATGAGGCACTCGACAACATCTAAGTGACCGCCCAGAGCAGCCACTCGTAGCGCAGTCTTCCCGTCATGTGACTTGTGATCAACTGTGGCGCCATGCTCCACGAGACAGCGTACCACCGCTAGGTGTCCTTCCTGTGCAGCTAGAACCAATGGATGTCGGCCATCGTTGTCGCTCTCGTTGACTTTTGCGCAGAACTCCAGAAGGCACTCTGCCACCTGCAAAAAATAAATTATGAGAGTCATTAAAGAATTTTTCCTAATTTAAATCCCACAAGACGTTAATAATCATTAATTATTTTAGAATGAAGTAAAATTTATCATTATTTCATACCATTTATGACCATTTACGTAAAGAAAGCACCTTGAGGTTTTAACCAAAAGTTAATCTTCTATTCAATCTTTGGACAAGGGATACAAATTTGATCAATGGAAAAGTTCTTGGGGTATATTTAGTACAGTCAAAACCAATAACAGTTTTGACTTGAATTAATGCCGTTTTGAATTAAACACAATAATCCTAGGATTTCTTTGTGTAACTGTCAATCGAAGAAGCTTTTTTAATTGACTTCAAGGAACAAATATTTGCCTTTTAATCAAATTTTAAAAAGCTTTTAAAAAAATAGAAATAGCGTTTTTTTTTTAGGTTTGCTGTTGCTCTTTCATCATTATTACAAAAGCTACACCATTAAACAAGCTTGCACATTATATAAAGGCATAATTCTGCAAAACAGTAACAAAAATCAATAAGTTTTAGAGCTGGGCGGGAATCTAATTATTTCCGGGGAGCAGGAGAGTTCAGCGTTGTATACCAACAGGAAGGTAACGAAACCAACAAACAAGAAAAAAGAACAAATAGACATGCAATCTACTTAGACTGGAGTGTGTTGTGCATTTTGTAAACTTTGTTCAAGTTTAATGTATAATATCGTTCACTTTACATTTTCTTCGGTTTAATCCTGCATCATTTCTGCATTTACACTGCATGAAATCACTCTTAATATACAGCACGGTTTCAGTATTCGAAGATTTGCTCCAAAACAGAGGAAATCAAACTTCTGATGAAGCTATAGACCTAAATATTATGATGCAAGTAAGTTTACAACATATGAATCTTTTATAAAAATAGTTCCATTTCCAGCCACCACGACAATACAATTTTATATATTCTACAGAATTGTTACTTTGCTTATTCTACATATGTATAATTTTTCATGAAAATCAGACAAAACTAAAATAGAAATATGATTTTGAAATAATTCAATAGATTTATTTATGTTTTGTAAGCAAGGACACACCTTCTAACGAACTACAATCAGAAAGATTTTCTTTATGTATTCTAGAACTGAACCGCATTTCATTTCTGCGGGAAGTGTAACAGTTTGAAATAATTTTAAGGACCATAGATTATTTACCTTCTGTAACCATGACATAAGCGATAATCAAATATTAAAAAATCGATATCGAATTATGCATCTTTGCTGTAGTCTACCATTTTACCGTGTTTCATCTTCATTCTGCACTTTGGAATAATTTAAATTCACCATTTCGTTGTTAAAAAATATGTGAACACCGTTCATTAAAATTAAAAAAAATTATAAACAGAACCATTCAATATGATGTAGTCGACATTTATGTCATGTATGATTGAAATCGGACCAAAACCACAAATGGAGTAGCATTCAAAAAAAAAATATTTACAGACGAACTGAACAAGAACACTGTACTCTTTGATATGGCTCCACTGTTGTACATGTATCACGTGATAGTTATGTTTACAATACACAGTATTTGTGGTATATGATAACTACTGTTTACACAGGACTGTTTACCCATACCCCAGGTTCTGTTGTTTGTCTGTTGTCTTGACATGATAACCACCTTTATGAATGAAAGAAAAGATAATGAAGGGTGATTTATCAAGCTTATTATCTCTATACAAAGGATAATTGACCCGGAATGTCAAATCCAATCACAAGTCCACATACATGTATGTATGAAAGAGTTGGGGAACAACTTGGTGTTGTCAATACGTCATTAAAGCTTTTTCACGAAGGCATAATGCATAAGTATCAAACTCTCCATATCAAAATTACTTAGCCTAAGCTAATGCGCGGCATCACAACTGTTACAGAAGTAAACCGGTGCGTTTTCTGAGAATTGGACACAAACAAAGGGGATGAGGGTACATAGCATATATACAGGAGCCTGATGCAAAGTCAATCAAAAAAACCCAGAAACATAGATATGATTTATATTCTTTCATATTACAATATACTTTAATATTATTTATATGTAATCATTCTGAAATAATTGTATATGCCTCCTGAGGGCCCTTGACTGGTGAATAAACATATTCTATTCTATACATGTATATATTGCACTTTTCAGCAGCTGTTCAAAGAAAACTGCAAACTTTCATGACAAACTGCAGTTACTGTTATCAGGTTATGGGATATCCTTCAAGATCAACAGCGTGCATTGTCAGTTAACATACTGACCTAATTCAACGGCAGGGGACAGACTTTAATGTCAAATTAGCATTATCCACAGGAAGTCGAGGGGAAACTGTTTTCCGGGTGTCGTAATCGTCTGTTTACTTTGGCCTTCAGGTAAACTGTCATTTACTTCAAATTAATGAGAAAACGAATGAAAAGTTATAAGGAAATTTCTTCTAAATGTAGACCCCTTATTTTTAGCATTTAAATTCATTTTGAAAAGAACGCACCGATTTACACTTCTTTTTTCATTTAATACTGCAAAAGAGCAGATAGATTGTATTAAAAGAGTTGGTGCTGGCAAATCCAATAGATTTTTTTTTTGTTAAAATGCAAATCGGCTTAATCTACTTAATCTGACAAAGCTATAATTCCCATAAGTGTGCAGTAAGTCTTTTCAAGTGTGAAGTATGGCTGATCAATTCTATCCGATTAAATATATGCAGCAAGCAAAATGTGCCAACTTCAGACAAAAATGGACTCTTTCTATACGGAGTCTATCAAATGAGAACACAAAGAAATTTTGATATCATGATTAAAATCTAGATTCCATGGTATTTCTCCATTTTCTGATAATAACGTTCTCAAATTGCTTGTACGTAAATCAAGCCATTCTTATGACCAAGTATAAAAACTTGATATATCAGATGAAGAGGTTTGAACATGCTCAAGGCGAATCCAATAACCGACATCTACCGACAATTTGTAGAGTTTGGTGGAAGCTGTACTTAACGAAAGCTTTGTAACGTGCCAAAATAGAAAAAAAAGAAATGTTAGCACACTCTGACAGGGATGTAACAATGTTGATCAACAGAGAGTGGTATCTGCCAGAACTGATCCATGTTCTCTTGTCAGTGTCTATCATCAAAGATCCACAAAGAAAACCACTAATTAACAGACAAATTCAGCAGGCAATACAACTTCTAAACATTCTTGTAACCAAAAGCATTCATAAGTCGTATACTTTTCATAAAGATATGCAAGATTTAACTTGGCATTTTATTGCGTCGAAGTTATATAAAAAAGATCCAAAATAATTTTTCTATTTTGTTAGGTCTGACGCAGCTTCCTCAATAATAATATTTCCGAGAATTTGTCATTGAAGTACTGCTTTTTTAACAAATTTCCTCACAAAAAAAAAAAAATTAATGTCTTACCAGGTATTTGTGCAAGATACTCTCATGAAGTTGTCAGGTTGAAAAATCTGTATTAACTGTCTGCCGGTAAATTCAAAATTTACAACATGACAATACCAGAGGATAGTGTTTCCTATAATATTCTATTCGAAATCACTTGAATTGTCAATATCACAGTTTTTGGTGTATTTTCTTTTTAAGACATTTTGAAAACAGTTTAGAAATGAGAAGATTTATATATTACAAAGCCTGACAAACAAAACAGAGGAACGTGTCGTCAGACCTTAAGGTTCATTTATACTCTGATAAGAGAGATAACTCTTTATTACATAAATGCCTATTATTCCTTTATACATTTGTCAAGTTGAAATGTCTTATTTGTTTAATTCTGCCCGCAAGCTATGATAGAATTGTTTGTATTTTACTTATAAAGTAGATTTCTTAAGGAAAATCATAAAAGTTAAAGCTACATTTTGTTTGAGTGAGCAGAGGGTTTATGAACCTTAAAATAACGTCGCAACAGATTCAATATAAAATTTTTGGTAAATTGTCTACATGTGTAGAATGGGTCATTGCCTTTTTATTGAAAAATCACAAATGTGTCAGAGCACCGCTTATACCAGCTAATGAGACTATTGCTAAGTGTGACCTGGCGGACGACAATGTGTGACCCCCTCTTCACCTGTGGAGGATCAATCAATCACACCTGAACTGACTCATCGCGAACCTCAATCTGACTAAAACGTCTGCTGCTGCTTAACGTCCTACTTCTCATTTTTACTGGTGATTACTTTACTTTATCAATTTGAATTTCATCGTCAGCACAGACAATAAAGCTAGATTTGACAGGTGAATATAGAGATAGATAATTCTTATCCAACAGGTGCGAGGGAGGTTAAATTGTACTCAGTGTGAGGGCTACAGAAGGGAATAAATCACACTACGTAAGTATCTGGGTGAAATAAGTCCATCACATGTCAGAAAAATAAGTAAACAGAACACAGTAATCTACATTTAAACCGTCAGGATTTCTAACAAAGATACTGTAAAAGCCTGCTGTCCAGGCGATTTAATGTATCGCTGCTAACTGCTATATACAAAGAGTGGTGAAACATGCAAACACGTGTAAACATAGTGCAGCACGTTCGTTGAGATCAAAGTCAGCGTTTTTTTTTACTTGACATGTTATTAACAATCTCAGCTGTCCAATCAAGTAAGGGGAAATTAAAACAGGACCAAATTTTCCTCCTCCGGCCTAGACCACAGCTGAAGTTAATCAGCCGTGATATAAACTACAATATGCATCTTGAAAGCATTTCAATAATAGCGATAGCGCTTTATTTTTGTCGTTTAATTCTGAAATATTTAAAATCTCGAACTAGTTAGCTGGTTCATACGAATTTTCCTCCATAGTTTTACCTGGCTTTCAGGTGTGCAGAGAGATAATTAATTTACCTCCAGGAAGATTGATTGCTACATCATACCTGATGTCGACCTCACAAGCTTATGTTAGAGGCCAGTATCTATTGATACCAAAATTAAGGATTGGGACAGAAAGCTAGAAACAAAGAATATTTCTAACATCTGCTGATGCCCCGCTGTCCCTTATTTAGATAGAATTTGAAATTGTTTACATGCCCAATAAAAAAAAACAACTCGACTGCCTTCAAATTAACGTCATATAAAACGTCGTTTTTGTCAGAATGTTATTTTCCACTTTTTAGCGTTCCCCATAGTTACAAACATTAATGACATTTAGCAAATGAGACCTTAAATTGTGTAAATATAGTGAGTTTAACTACACAGAGAAATCGATAAAATGCTCATCAATAAATGAGATGTCCGGCAATCGTTCTACTCATCAACAATTCTGTGTACTCGCTGTCCATTACCAAACAAGACAAGTATACTCATTAGATCCTGCCAAATAAAGCTGTTTTTAGAAACACTGAGAGTGGAAAGCAAACAATGGAATTGTTTTAGTTGTCTGTACATAACGATCATACCACACTGGCTCTGTCCGCGCCATTCACCCTAAAATCCTACACGCTTTCCCTCTTTTATTTGCATTCCTACTTCCTAAATATTTTTCTCCTAAAAATTTACATCAGTAGCTGGTTGGACAGAATAAAATGGCTATTTAAGTTAGGTTTTATATTCTTAATAAACCATGCGCTGTGATAATTAAAACCACTCATGCAACAGCAACGATTACGTAACTTTTATTTGAGTCACAAATTCTACAACCAGAAGCAATTCTGTGCTACTTTTTTAGAGTCTATACACCTGCTTTTCCCATTCTGGTTCGCCAGCTTTCCAGATCATTAAAAATGTTGCAAACTCAGTTATATTTCTTTAATTTACTTCTCTAATTACAGGTGGAATAAAAAAATCGTTAAGCTATTAAACATTTTCCTGCTATCACCAGAATGCACAGGGAATCGTCCTATATAATTAGACCTACCAGACCGGGTTTGTTAAATGAACTGAGATAGATATGTCAGATTAAACAACAGAGGATGAAATCAGCTGTGAGTTGTCAAGTTTCTAAAAGATCTAACAGACACTGAATCAACCTCCCGATAAAAACTCTGCATGTAGACCTGTAAAAATACACAAAACACGAAAATTGTGTCTTAAACTGATTGGTATCTCTAAAATGAAAGTTGGTTTGTTATTACAATTTGGCAGGGCTTTATCTTTTTTTTTTAACTTTATTCATAAACTCGCCATTGATAAGCAATTATCTTCCTCTAATGTTAAGTTTCAATGTCCTGGAATGACAACTCTGAATTCAGATTAAATATTTCAGAAGCATGTTGGTCTTTTATTTAAAAACAATTGTTTTCCTACTGAGACATGTCTAATTAAAAACTCTGCCTGATTAACCTCTGACCCTGTAAATTCCTGTTTGTCATTTTTGGTATGTGATCATCTGAGCTAGGCCTCTCTGGGTCAAGAACAAGGAATTTTACACAGTCCTTATCAGGGCCTTTTTGCAACCACTGCACATACCTAACAGATCAAAGTCACATGTGCATGTCGAGTTAAAGTACTTACAATGAACATGTAACTTAAAAGACTGACAATATTCGTTTTTACGCCGATAACACGTCAGAATTTATTAAAGGACTCCTAAATTTGTTTTAAACATTTAGTGGTATAGGTCGCCACTTCAGATGTTTTAACAACAGTCAACCTGAACAATAATGTTTATTTTGGAATTTTGGCTATTACATAATCCTTTGTTCTGCATTCAAAGTCAAAATCTGATTATTTCTTTTCTAAATGGATACGGAATCCACAGCATTATATAAATATCGATATTATCGTTCATTAACAATTTAAAATTCGGTGAATATAAATTCAATACCATATGAACAGGTAGAACTGTGAACTCAATAAATGTCCGAATTATAAATAGGAAAGTTAATTTTTAAGCATCGATAAAATTGCGTCTAAGGTCTGATTACTGCTGAAATATGGACTGATATTGTGTCACCCACTAGAATTTGTCGCCCCATACTGGAGAATTTCTTATTTAAAATAGATAAACAAAAATATGTCCTTAAATAATTTTTCTAGAACCCCCATCCCACTTTTTAAAAACAATAGATTCTACATAAGATCTAAAATTAAACATTTCATCTATTATGCAATTATTGCGTATCAAAAAATAACTTTGCATAATGTAAACAGAGGTTGGTATTTGGTTCCCGCAAGTCACACAGGAGTGCACCTTGGTTAAATAAGACACTTAGGTGTATAAAAACCACAGACGACTAGAAAAAAAAATACTGAATGAAATAAAAAGCAATCCTAAGTTTTTTTTACATTGACAAAAACACTTAGGCGGTAACGAGTATCCAATAACCGTGGTGAAATCGATCCTTTCTCAAAGAAATGTTTTTGCATAGGAATGTTGAAATGGACACTTGGCAGGGATAAAGGTAGATTCACCCGAGATGTACTACCAATAATAAATCATAGGTTATATTTATGACGTATTACGTGGTCTTACTTTACATATTGTAAGGATAGGTATTAAATAATGACGGTCATTCATAAATGTCCATAAATATATACAATATTTTTTATTTCAATTTTCACAAAGGTGCAGACCAAGTTTTTATTTTCACAAAATCATTAAAGCTCATTTAAATATTTTATACCATTCTTTTGGTTCTTGGACCAGTTACCAAGCTTAGATTATAATATGTAGGTTGTTATACTCCGGGCATGAATTAAATAAGTACAATATTGTACATTTACCTTTTGATGTCCCTCATACGCCGCCATGTGAAGGGGAGACCATCCAGCATTGTCCTTGTGCATTTCATCTAAACCTCGTTCAAGCAGCTGGCGCACCGTATCTTCGTTCCCTTGGGCAGCAGCTATACTGAGGACATTTCTTCCTTCGGAGTCTATCGTGTCCACAGCACAACCCCAAAATAAAAGCTGATATACAATTTTCGCGTGACCCATTGATGCTGCGGCCAGTAAAGCCGTTCGACCACTCTTATCTGCGTGATCAATGTCCGCATCCCACTCCAACAACAGTTCACAGACGTCACGGTGACCCTCGCACGCGGCGACCAGCAATGGCGTCATGCCGTCCTTATCCTGGTGGTCAACTTCGGCGCCCTGCTCCAGAAGGATGCCGACGACGCTTTCGTGTCCTTCACTGGCTGGAATACACAGAGCAGCAACTGATAACGCCGTCCTTCCATCACAATCTTCATGATTTATATCCGCTTTGTACTCTAGTAAATGCTGAACAATTTCAGAATGTCCCATGTAGGCTGCGGCAATGAGCGCGGTGCGACCTTCGATGTCCGCTTTGTTGACGTCTGCTTCGTGCTCCAATAGACGAAGTACAATATCCTCGTGTCCACCCCATGCCGCAGCCCGCAGAGCCGTTCGCTGATCTTTATCAGCATAGTTTACATCCGCACCCGAGTCCAACAGTAAACACACGACGGCCGTGTGTCCACCCCATGCCGCTGACCGCAAAGCAGTCCATCCTTCACAGTCTGTAGAATCAACAGACGCGGAAGCACTGAGAAGAGTGGCCACAACTGTCCCGTGACCTTGACGCGAAGCTAAATTTAAGGGCGTCTGTCCACTACGATCAACCGCCTCTACGTTTGCACCTTTTGTCAACAGAAGATTCACTAAGTCTAAATTCCCCTCGTACGCGGCAGTATGCAAGAGAGTCCGTCCGTTTCCGTCCACCTCGTTGATTTGGAGGTCCACATCTTCTAAAGTCTGGTCACATGATTCTGACTCTTCAATCATGCTGGCCTGAAGACTTGCACACTCTGCCTCTTCGGCATCCATCGGCATTTTAGCCCCGGCTTCCAGTAAAATTTTGACTACTTTTTGTTCTTTCGGAACACCGGCAGATAAACTGTTCTCTACATCTGCGCCACTGACTAATAACCACTGAGTTAGATGGTATGTTTGAATCGGTTCCTCGAAGCTGGTTCTCACCAGATGCCAAGTGAAATCCTGTACCTCAGCAGTTGAGAGATTTGCAGCGTTTACAGTATAATGCATCGCTAACATGCCGTGACCTTCCGCGGCAGAACACAGGTACTTTTGGGTACAATGTTTTACGTCCAGAAGCCACTCAGCAAAGCTGTGGTGAAATAAAATTTTAGTACCCCCGTTTCCCTCAATTAATAATTTTGAAAGCAGTTTTATGCGCTTGTCAAAATCTTCCTTTGTTAGCGTGAGATTTGACGTTTGCACACAGGAAAATAACTGTTCCTCAGTTAAAGGTTTTCTGGAGGCGAGAATCACATTCAAAATTGGCTGAATTTTAGAAAATTGTTTCCGCACAAATAACCGCTGACATAGCCAGAGATAGAGGCCATTAAGCGTCCCCGGAATTTCGCGGATCTCCCGTAACATAATGAATTTTTCTGAAACTCCGTCCAAAACTTTCTCCAAGTACAAAAAACAACCATTACTTTTGATGTGAAGTTGATTGAGCATTTCCGCCGTGTCACGACTTAGGTGTTGGCGGAGGTCCTCCTCAAGGTCGAGTCTACAGAGAATATATTGCTGGACATCTCGCACCACGTGCGACTTCCGGAGATCATCCAGACTTATCTTCCGGAAACCTGTGAACATACGAGTTACAGATTTGCTCTGCTTCCGTGATGAGCACACTAAGAGAAGCCAATTTGGAAAACTAGTGTGATTGTTGGCCAGAAGTTCGGCTATCGTTTTACTTCCGGTCGTACGATCGTTCAGTGACTGTAGATACGACTCGTCAACTGAGTCCACTAATAGAAATAATGTATGATTAGGAGGCTCAATGGAAGACAAGGGTTTCAGCACAAGTTCCTGAAAAGCCTCATCGGGGTTGCGTTCGATTTCAGCGGGGCGGCGTAACCGTTTGGCTTCAGAAGTTTCTAGCCTTTCACAGTATCCGGCTATCAGCTCGGAATTACACAGTTGTTCGACTAGTCCACTGATGAAGTTGGAGAGTGATAAACTGTCGATGTCATGCGCCTGACAGAAGTGGTAGCCTAACAAACGTTTGTTCAGCAGCGTCTGCTTACCCTGCGGGATAGTTGGCCACACCAGCTCGCAGCCGATTGCAGTCTTTCCACACCCTGGGCCCCCCATAATGAGGGCCCCACATGTCTTGGACGAAGGCCGACTCTCCAGACAATGGTTGATCTTGCTGAAGGCCCATTCCCGACAAAAAAACTGCTTCTTTTTCAGTAGGCACTGTGTCATCGTGGCGAGTGGTTCATTCCTCTGTTTTCTGGAGTGTATTCCTCCCTCACGCTGTCAAAGAAAAACATCAAGTGCAATAATTGCGTGATCCTAGCACAATTACACGTAATATATATTTTAAAAGTGTAGGCTACGCCAGAGGTTTGACATAATTACATTCGGTGACAAATATGAGCTATTATAGAAAAGTCGTAGTATAACGCACTCTGACGGTTAGCCCGGCCTGACTCTGATCAATGCCTGGCTGCAGCAGATGCAGAGACGGACAAAAAAATCTTCCAAACAATGCGGTGAATTAAGCCATTGAATGACATACATATATCACACTATCTCCTCTACCAATCAGGGGCAGATTAGCATTAATCGTTAGCGGCCTATTAAGATAACACCTCGAGATAAGGGACCAGATAAAATAAGGGGGGTAAACTGATACCTCTACAACGGGGGGGGGGATGCTCGAAGGGCCTGGACTCTCAGATTTAACATTCCCCTCCTGTGACAAAACATATGTGTCCTTAGTTCACGGACGACTCTTAGCAGTTATCTGCAGGGTTCAATAATCGACCCTTTCTGCCTTTGTCGATTTTTGCTGCGAGTTGGATTTCAGCCATGGGAAAGCGATGGGGATAACAGTGTTGATAGAGCGATAAAGAATGTCTTCAGTAGCTGTAAACCTTCTGCTGTTTAGTCTGCAGTATTTTCTCACAGACTACTGGGGTTTTTTTTTCTTTTTTTTTGTTTGGTTTTTTTTTTTTTTTTTGAAAACTCATTTCGACAGCCTGTACTTTTGATAATTCGTTTTACAAAATGATTGCAGACAATTTCCAGATATTATTATAATGAGATGGGGGATTTTAAGAGGTCCTCAAACACAATTTTGCATATTAAATGAAATGATGTACATGGTATAGGAAATATGTAGATTTTTGAATATTTTGGGATATCATAACTTGAAGATAAGTCAGACAGAATAATGCCGATATCTCAAGACCAAATATTGATCGGGATCTGAGAGAACACGTGCATTACACATTAGAAATCAGTCACAAACATTCAGATTCAATCTTCTGAGGAAAAAATCGATACAAACTCAGCAAGGCTTTTTGTCGCATTGCTGAAATACAAAAATAGTAATGGCCAATATACCAACTACCACAGTCATTTATTATACATTACATTGATTTCATTCCTAATTCAGCACTACTCATATACAAAAGTTAGAAATATACTATATATACAAAAAAATACTTACACTGTCAAAACTTTTTAAAATTATCCTCGCTTATTGCAGTAATTTATAAATTTATTTGATGCAAATCCATTGTCAACATGCCAAGAGAACTATAAAATTCCGTCCCAGACTAATTAAACACACAGCTCAATTTCCTTCCCGTCCAGTGCTTGGTCAAACTCAATACACACTGTTTCATTCAGTAGATATTTACCATGCTCTCCTACTCTATTTTTATCGCAGGCCAACACAAAGAATGTTGATTAGACGTTGTAGGCGGAGTTAGGTTTTAAACCCAGTAGCCCGGTTGGTTCTAATCAACTCTACTTTGCATGACAGACACCTGAAAACGTTATCGACTTTTTTTAATCCCGTACCTGTAAACCGTAAACTTTCGGTAATAGATGTAATTATTGTCATCATGTAACATTTGTTTTTCTCACTTCCCTTCTACCCTCAGGATAAAAATTCCATCGCCATCCAACTGATCAGTTAATTGACACATTTCACGTCGCACCTTGACGAAGGATTCTGCTGATAAGGGAATGTTAAACAATGTTTTACTGGTATTAGCCGTACCCACGAGCCAAATGGACATCTTGGTGTCGTAAATGATGAACTACCTAGGTGTCCTAAAAGCATGTTAATGTGTTCTTTTATGGATAAAAGTTTTTGTATAAATTTTATCTATCCTAGATAGACAAACATTTCTATTAAACAGAGTTTTATGATAAATTAATTTTCTTTTTATGATTCCAACATAACGTTACATCATACTCAATTAATTAAAGTCCAAACAACGAAATTAAAATTATTTCCAATATTATCTTTCCACTTTTCCATTTGTCCAGAGGTCTGGGTTGTATAAAATCGTCGTGAAAATTGATGATGGGTGATGGGTGGGGGCTAAGATAAATCTTGGACAAAGAAACGAAACAAAAGACTAAATTATATTCGATACACTCATTTTATTTTGTCATGAAAACTGAAATTCTATTTTGTTGGAGAAAGAGAAATGTCAGAACCAATACCAAACAACTCGAAAGATAATCGATTTCGGAGGGGGGGTGGTGATTTGATTTGAACATATTTTATTGTAATAATACATACAAAAGGATTGGATACAAGTTCTTTCAACTTAATAAATCCTCTCCTTGTTTTACAAACAATGAATACAATATGATTGTCATAATAAATAAATTGAGATAATTTACGAAAATTTATGTTGTACATGTAATATATATGGGCGGGGGGGGGGGGGTTACAAAAATTCCAAAATTATTTATCTTTTCTCTACGTCACCAAGCTGATCAAAATATTGAGGGACTTCTGTCCCTCCCCAAATTACCCATTATTACGACCACGTTGCAGAATTCATGAATAAAAGTATAATGACCGTATATCGAGCAATAATACAAAAATTATAGTTATGTCTTGCAAAATAAAGTACATCATTGGTGCATAAATAGTTTTTTTTTTGGGGGGGGGGGTCCTTTTGCTACATCAATTTTCCCCTCCAGTAATAATTTTTACTGTACTCTTTTGTCTTTCTCGGTCAGATAAATTAACCATCGTTCGCCCTAATACACAGTAATTGCTTCAATATATTGATTACTTCGGTCTATCAAATATAGCTATATAACTGAGAATAAAAGAGATGTATCAAATCATAATTTTTGGCAGGATGTCAGAATCAGAAATGGCCGGTGAGTCTGGTTACCCAGGAGAACCCAGGAGAGTAGCTAGGATCAGGAAAGAAATCTTCCGGAGGACTTTCGGAACAATTGGCTCTAAAAGCCACAAGGCATCGATCGAGTGGTGGATAGAAACTACTGTATCATATGTATAAATATACAAATATTGTTCCTTCACATTGAGTATGTTCTAGGCAAATCGATCGGCGAATAGACCAGAGTTAATTAAAGAAAAATGCGCTGGAAAAATTATGTGATAATTTCCTGAAATCAAGTGTTAAATTCATAGATTATTGATTTTTAATAGTTGTCATAATACAAATAACCATTTACAAAACAGTCACTTCTGTGATATAATTAATGATGATGGCCGTAACACCGTGGACGGGGTCCTGAGTTAGCCAGACACGTGAGTGGTAACCGCAGGTTGACACTATAAATTTGTCAATGTACAGGTATAAGTACATGTATGTAAAGTATTTACAAATGTGAACTAGTCACTCCCGTGTTAACCCAATACACGGCTCTACAAGCAAAAAAGTCGCACAGTAAGACTTAATATGCAGCTATTAAGGGTGCATTGTTTGTACATACGCCAACAGGCGCAAGAAGAATGCGACCATTCCTCTAGCTGTCAAGGCTTATAGTATTATAGTTTAATTGGATTGCTTTTGTGAAGTCTTTATTTGTAAAGAGATTAAGAATTTTTTCTCAAATGTAAAGCACACCCGTTGCTGAAGATGAATTATTAAGGTCAAGTAAGGCCCTTTACTCGATTTTCATGAACTCCATGGGAGCAGCTCAAGGCCTGATAAGTTGTCAGGAAGTAATGAGATCCGAATTCTTTATTGAAATGTTCATTAGAGTGGTTGCATGTTTAAGTTGAGGGTTTGTTCATATTCTGCATTAACTTAAATCACAGGTAAAAAAAAAAAAAAAAAAAAAAAAAAAGCAAACGTGCAACCACTTTACATTACAGAATACATGTCTCACAGGTCCTGTTTCATTTTTATATTTCGTGGGTCTAAATTGAGATAATTTCCATTGTGCTCAAACACCTTCAATGACTACAAAATCCGCTCTATTAAGTTAAAAAAAGAATCATTCATATCTTCAGTCATTCTGTCTCTACAAAACAAGCCATTCACCGAATTCCTTGCGAAACCAGGACAAATAAAGTCATCTGAGTTCCGGTTTCTCGCTGGCCCCTGAGTTCCGTTTCTCGCTGGCCTCTGAGTTCCGTTTTCTCGCTGGCCTCTGAGTTCTGTTTTCTCACTGGCTTCCGAGTTCCGGTCTCTCACTGGTCTAAGGGTTCCGGTTTCTCGCTGGCCTCTGGGTTCCAGTTTCTTGCTGGCCTCTGAGTTTCGGTTCCTCGCTGGCCTCATTGTTCCGGTTACTCGCTGGTCTCTCAGTTCCGGTTTCTCGCTGGCCTCATTGTTCCGGTTTCTCGTTGACCACTGATTTCTGACCTTTGGAGTCTTTATATCGTTCCTTCCCTTCCGTTCTCCGACATCTAAAATATCTTCTTTTATTCACTATTCTTATTCCTATCAATAAGCTTTTTTTTAATTCCACTGTAGATTTGTTCTGATAAAGACTAGACTAGAATCTTAAGTTTTAGAGCAGTAAAATATAACATATTTTGGAGGGGATGAATGGATTAAGGCGTCTTTATTTCTGTTTGTCGAATTGTGAAGTGGTGTTTGGTGAGAAAACTATGCACTTACCCTTTACTCTTAAAATTCTTGATCAGGCTACCGCATAACAATATTCTTACAATGGTTACCATATTTTAGAGAGAAAAGTAACTATTTATACTCGAACAGATGTAATGCTGCCACCCTATAAGTAGAACATTCGTTTAAAAAACAACAACATTCGTTTAAAAACTGAAAAATGAAAATTTTAAGAACTTCAAAAACTGGAAATGGATAAGATATGTGCTAAGAATGAGAACCGATAGCCCTGTCAAAATACCCTTTATGTGGACACCTGAAAGACGAAGGAGTTAAGGGAGACCAAACAAAACACGGAGAAGGACTGTAGAAAGAAAAGCGAAAAGATTCAGACCATGAAATGAAGCCGCCTTGAAAGCTTGTGTCATATCGTACTTTTTGAATTTACCGGGTGGCAGTAAATACAAAAATTACAATTTGACAACTAGTTGTCATATTGTAATTTTTGTATTTACTACCACCCGGTAAATTCAAAAATTACAACATGACAGCTTGTGACAAATCAGAATAGAGAAGACTTTTCTAAGGCCTGTTTCTTCTCACGGAAAGACATAAATAAGCCAAGCTAAGTCAAGTAAAAACTGAATTGAAAATAATATGAAGGAATAATGTGATACTAAATAAGATATTTCAAGAACATAATAATAATGATAAAACAATCAGCATCTACAAAGAAAATTAAGTAAAGCGGTTTATGACAGTAATAAAACTTCACTCCTTGAAGATGTTGGAGAATTTGTGTAAGTGCATTTATAAACAACCAGTTATTTAATGGAAGTTTTATGTACTTAAACAAAGGTGGCCTCAAATACAGAAGGGTTCGTGACTTGCAAGCTAATATTCAGACTGAATGAAGAACTCGATAGTACCCGGGCCAGCAATCTCTTTTGTAGTTACTGCGTCGATTTTCCTTCAAGTAAACAAATTTGTTTATTTTAATGGCATGAATGTGGCATAATTATCTGTATTTGGAATCCAATACTTGCCAGTGGAACATGCACTCTGACGCCTTCGATCCTGATTGACATTAACAAGACAGTAATCACGGGATACTAATCGTTTTATATCTATAATAATAGAAGTAAGAACAGAATTTGCACCTGAAGGCATCGTTATTGTCAGAAAAGTCAACATCCAAAACATGACCCTACTATTCTGGTGCACAATATGCAGCTCCGAAGGACAATTTTGTTTATGTGGAGTTGTGTTTTGGTGTGTTTTGCGTACTTTTAGACACATAATACTTCGTTTTGTCCCCATTTCATAAAGAGGTTTGACATGTTCTTTCTTCGTCCATCAAGTCCTCAATTTCTGGCATGTGTTGTTCTAAGGTTCTGTTGTAAACACGATTACTCACGTGGAAAATCATATTCAAAAATCTGGCAGGTCATTGCAAATAGCGCTCGCCAATACATGTTTACAAGATTCACGTGTCCTTGTGGTGTTGGCTAACCATACTTGGTAGGTTTCTAGAAAAGTAGAAAGAAATTTATGACATAAAATTTGTATTATACTAAGCAGTCCAGAGATTGCAATGGCGGTCTTTCCAGTAAAGGTTAAAAAAACGGACAGGTGCATTAATGGAATGATATACCCAGTAGTTTTTATTCTATTAAAACAAACATAACTTTACTGCTGTCAAGCGATCATCATTTCCTAGTTGTACACAAAAAGTGGTGGGGAACATTGATCTCTGGAATGATATACCAACTAACCTAGTTCTGGGGGTACCCCAAGTTCTCTTGAATGTAATCCCCTTGTTGTTAGCAGTGTGAATGACCT